AGGCTACAATCACCTGTGTCATCTCAGTCCTTTGCTATGGGGCTGAGGCCTGGTGGCCGGGTCGAAACAGGCCCAGGCCCAGGAACCAGGGCTCTGTATCAAATCGAGTCGATTCCTCCCTCTCACCTTGACCGGGTACTCAGAGATGCTCTCCGAGGTACTCTCCCAGTATACCGGACCACCCCCATTCCAGCTCTCCATCGAGAAACTGCCATTCCCCCGATGGAGATCATCCTTGACCAGAAGCGCACTGCAGCCAGATTGCGTGCCTTCAGTTTAGACAATCGCCACCCAGTTTGCAGGCGCATATTCCGAGCACGATCTTTTCCTGCAAACACACACCTAACCCACAATCACCTGCCATGGCTGGAGGGGGTAGAACAGACTGACCCTCTGTTATATCCCCCCTGGCAGGCGGAGGACCCCAAAACAATCCAAAATATTTGTTCCACCCGAGACAGGGCAGATGTGACCTTTCAACAGTGGGCTGATACATGCCCTCCACTCTCCATGTTCCTCTTTACTGATGGCAGCCGCTTGGGCAACTCAGACACTGCGGCTGGCGCCGGATGGTATGGATACTGGGGAGCGTGGAAGCAGGAATCCGCCTGTGGCCATCTCTCCCTGCCACATCATGAAGTCTTTGATGCAGAGGCCACCGCAGCACATGAAGGACTGAAAGCAGCCATCAATAGTGTCCAGGCCCCATATACACAGAACCTATACCTCCTTCTTGACAACCAGGAGGTGGCACGACAGCTGCAGGGCCTTCCTAGAGGCTCTAGCCAACAGACCATCCGGGCTGTTCAAGAAGCCATGGATGCCTGGCCCAACCGGTCCTCCCGGTGCCCGGCTATCCCACCCAGGCAAGTTCACGTCCACTGGATTCCTGGACATACTGGTATCGAAGGGAACGAGCAGGCAGATTTTCAAGCAAAAAGAGGAGCAAGGTCCACTCCACAGACCAACTCCCCTCCTGCAAGATACACCTGGGCTCACCGGACATTGAAGGAAGAATTCTGGCGACGATTTCAATCCTTTTGGGCTGAGAACGCACCACAGCAATATCAGGACCTCTCCATAGGCCTGGATAAACGACCCCATGAACTATCTCTCCCCAGAGCCACCCTCGGCCGACTCCTTGCTGCCCGGTCAGGCCATGGAGACTTTGCCCAGTACCATGAGCGTTTTAGACATGAAGGTGCGAAGATAGAATGCTCATGTGGGAGCCAAAAAACCCCCCACCACTTCTACTTCTGCCGGAAAGGCCACAAGGCATCCCCACATCCATGGGGAGACCAGCAGGTAGATGAGGTCCTGCGCTCTAAGTCAGGAACAAGAAACTTCCATGAATGGTTACAGAGGTCTCACTTTTACCACACGATATGCCCCGCGCACTGACCAACTCCACTTCAAAACTCTTCATGACTTTCCTCCTAACCCCCCTCCTTCCTTTTTTCGCCTCCCCCCTTCCTCCACAGAATGTGTGCGCCGCTGAACGCGGCCCCAATAATCATAGGCGGGCTCCTATGGGAAAACCTTTGCCAGCATGTATGATAAAATTAGCTTAGCTACTAGATAGGCGAGTCCGCTTCGCCCGTCGTATATTCCGCTCCGGGATCTTTGTGGGCACGTGACAAGCGCACGTGCCACTTTTCCGACGTAAAATAGCAACTACTACTACTACTACTACTACTACTACTACTCTCCGAGCTGCATCTTGTCTATGTATCTGTAGATAGCCTGACCTGTAGCTTACCCCGTTCGTCAATTCCTAATATATATATATTCGTATCTGACCCTGCACCCTGATACTGAGAGCCTGAGATCTAGAGCTCTGTTACGGACATAGGGCGGAACGCATGTATATTAGACAAGCGCCGAAGGTCTACTGGCACTAGGCCGAAGTAGTAATAGTGCGGTCGTAACCTATTTAGGTACAGGGCCGCCCGGAGCGGGCACGTGACCCCGACATTCCTTAGGGAGACCGCTGGGCGAACGTTAAGAGAGACCAGCGTTCAGTCTAAGCACCAATGGGACTGGCTATTACTACCAAAGTTGTTACATACATATACTACCTCCATATACACTCTATCACGCTTCTACCATAGTTTACCCCCGCCGGGTGGACGACCAGTTTAACAAAATCTGAGTATAACATCCTCTTAAACTGTAAGAAAGTGGTATTAAAGGAGATTTAAAAAAAAAAAAAAAAAAAAAAAAACAGTATCTAATTCAGAATACCAGCAGGATGTACAATAAAGACATTGATAGTTTAAGAATAGTAGAATTTTTCTAGAAAGAGAGGAGAGCTAACTGCATCATCTATAATATTAAAGGGAATAAATATAACTATAATCAGTGCTGTTGCATTTCATTGACATGCCTTAAAGAGAATGAAGGCGTTATAAACCTGTAATAGATTAAGATAGCTATTAAGTAAGGTAAGCAAAATAGTAAAACGATATAATTTAAATGACAGTCTGCCACAGTTCATTTAAAGTGAATAAGAAATAGGCTATTAAAGACAAGTTACTGCAGGAATATCACTCTTTTATCAATGTCTTTTTTTTAAAAAAAAAAAAAAAAAAAGTATTAGACTAACTTTCATCAAGAGATGATGTCAATCATTAGCTAATTTTAAAAGCATGTTAATCCCCTTTATATTTTTTTTCTATTAATTTTCTCTACAAAAATTAATAATTTCTAAATAATTTTAAGTAATTTGGGGAAGATCTAAGTCTCAAGGTTCTTTACTAAATCCTAGGGATTTTTATTTAAAAAATAGGTCTCAAAAACTTGACTTGGAATGAGACTAAATTAGCTATACGGAACTGTTGTCAATAACGCTTACAGTAATTATATCTATTTAAATCTTGAAAGAGATATATAATATATTAACTATTTATATTCTCTCTAGATAACTTGATATTTGTTTGGCTAGAATCCATTCTTGACTTTACATGAAGACATTCAAATTTAATGTCGACTATCCCTACTCGCGACTACTCGGGCCACACGTATGCGAATGACACCAATATGCCAATATTTTTCCTCACGAATTTCTATCAACCACTATGCTTTTTGGGTAATATAATGCTAGATTCCATAGCATAACTATCCGTAGGAAATATATAGATAATCAAAATGATAGGCATAGTAAGTCTAACACTATTCTTCACAATTCTGCCCCTCATGTTGAATATATATATATTTCATGAATAAATAGATAAATATTGATTTTTAATATTATATCACTGAATGGAAGCATGCTAATTTTATCAGCTAAATAGGGGTTTATACATTTATATTATATGATTCTTGTAAACTGGATATATTCCACTACATATATTAAAAAGAACTGATCTTAAGTCGAGTGATCAAGGTAAAAAGATTATTAGTTTTATGCCATGAAAATATTGCGAAAATCAATGGGCCGATAGATTAATATCTAAGGACTAGATAAATATTTTTATTATATGTACTAGAATAGAATGTTAAGCCACTATTTATCTGGATATCAATAGGGGTAGTCAGCCACTGTATACTTTCTGCATTCAAATACAGACCTGCTACACAGTCTAAACTAAATCCTACTTGTGGCTGACTGCCCCATAATCCTGAGTGTATTCTGAATGCTGCATTCTGGTCTAATGGCCAGACCTTGATACACCCATAAAACCATCAATTATTGATCAAGACTGATCAAATTTAAATTATGAATTCCTCCTCATTTCCTGCAGTGTTTGAAATTCCTAGTTTTTCTCATTTTTAATAGAGTTATCCCTGTTTAATGTGGAAGAAGTCAGACATTTTATTTAATTACAAGAGTGCTATTTTAAGGGTCTAGATTCTAGATAGTAGCTCTACATAAAAGCAATCTTGATCCAAAGCTGAAGCATGTATGAGTGATGAATCAATATCCTATTGAAAACACTAGACTGACTAATGGCTGACTGAGTATAGTCTAGAGTGTACAAAGTAAACTGATCAGGGGTCAGGAGTAGCATTTGAATGCAAGAGTTGTATACTTGCAACCAAATAAACCAACCATGGCATTAAATGCGGGGCGGGCTTGTATTCAAATGCAAAAAGTATACGGTGGCTGATTACCCCTAACATAAAACGGTGCCGGGTGGGCGTATATACCTGTCTTTCTACGGTTCTACCTTTGTTGTATCAGCTTGCTTCTATCTGGCTCAGGATAGCGTTATATCATCCATACTAGGAACAGTGTAAAAGTCATGTGACTGAGATGTTGAAATTCCATTCTACTTTGAAAACGCAGCTTAAAACGGCTTTTTTATGGCTTTCCCGAAAGTAGTATTAGCCATTGTTCATTGGCATATATATATTAGCTGGCTGGCTTGCTTTTTCGTACCTTTAGCTGAGTTGCCTGGAAGGGGTGTCAATATATAGGGGCTGTATTTCATTGATAGTGTTAAAACTGGTCGTCCACCCGGCGGGGGTAAACTATGGTAGAAGCGTGATAGAGTGTATATGGAGGTAGTATATGTATGTAACAACTTTGGTAGTAATAGCCAGTCCCATTGGTGCTTAGACTGAATGCTGGTCTCTCTTAACGTTCGCCCAGCGGTCTCCCTAAGGAATGTCGGGGTCACGTGCCCGCTCCGGGCGGCCCTGTACCTAAGTAGGTTACGACCGCACCATTACTACTTCGGCCTAGTGCCAGTAGACCTTCGGTGCTTGTCTAATATACATGCGTTCCGCCCTATGTCCGCAACAGATTCTGAAACAGTCTTATAACAAACTGCATTCTCTCTAGCATTTCAGGATCCCTATATTTCTACCAATTCCTTATAATTCTTTTATTTATTTGCTTTTTTAAATCTCTCTATTTCTCTTTTTTCAAAAAACTACCTACTGTTCATGACCTAGCCTCCACTATTAGTCACAGTATATCATACTACCAATCATTGAAAAAGTTAGAAGCTGTTTATAATTATATTATTCAGAATCTTAGTTTATAGTATTTAGCAACACCTCATTTACATGATCAATAAGAATCATTGGGTATGCTCAGCGGGATGATCAGTAAGTTAAGCAGGGATTATGACCTGAGCATTAAGGAAGTACGACATACCTCACGTGACCTGTGGGAAGTATACAAGTATACAAGTCGGAGGTTATACTGTCAGTCCGCAGTCGTGTATAGGGTATACTAGTATACTTCAGGGATGTCATACTGATATCGTGGAGGATATATAAGGACACTCATTCATGTACTTTAGTTCTTCGCGATTATTTTCGTCAGTCAAGCATTGGTTACCTTTCTAGTACAGACCTTAAGAGGTCATTATCGATATAACGACGACGACGAAGGACACTCAGGTGAGTGCCCCCAACTGAGACTTAACTAGAACCTAGGTTACGATACAAGAGAAGCCAGGTTGTGACAAAGAGCTCCCATCTAGTAGCGCAGGTGCCTTGAAGGTGCTAAACTATAAGGGTAAGTGGTGATCTCACCATTACCTGCATACCTGCTACCGCTATGTACGGCTGTGACAATATGCTTAGTTCTCACCATGCTGTTCCACCTCCTCAATCTACAGTCTCACAGTTAGCCGAGTCTTACATAGATCGACAAATAGATAACATAGACAGCATTTGGGCTTGGTCAGCATGCTCATCCAGTTTAGGCTTAATGTGCTGAGTAATTTTGTCTATCTGAAATATCTTAGATGGTTTCAGACTACCCGAATACTCCTATATCTTTATTTTAAGTTATATTCTCTATTAACGTAATTCACAAGCGAGTGACGCACACAAGCGAGTGACGCACCCGCCCCCCATATATAGTATTTAAATGCATTTATTTCAACCAAAACGCCATTAAATTAAGAGAACTACCTATTTAGGTCTATCTGGACATGTCTCTCTTCTATGTCATGGGACCCTACATATTCCACACCCCCGCGGAGGCCGCGTACGTGGCTGTAAAGGTGGCGAAGGCTGTCTTGAGTCTTGACCCGGGGGGTGCTGGAGCTATCAGGGCCTCAATTGGGGCCTCAATTAGCTCAACAGCCTCCTGAACTAAAAGGCCACCTTCATGGGGTATCTTCCTTTTAGACCGTGTACGCTTTTGCTTCTGTTTCTCATTTGCAGCCTGTAATTCACTTACTTCTTTCTCAAGAATAGCAGCTGATTGCATGCCAATTTGGCATGCTTTAAGAATCTGACTTATCGCGGTTGTAAGCGGACTTGGTGGGCTTCTTGATCTTGTACGGAGCAATGCATTAATTGATGAGGATTGCTTTTGTAATTGCATGTAGTTTGAAGGTGTTTTTGGCTCCCAATCACTACCCTGGCTTCTGGGGGGGGGTTGGTGTACGAAGCTGAATATTGAGCTTTGACAGCACCTGATCAGGGTCAAGAGGCAATAAACCAGCTGCTGCGAAGCTATTTTTGATAGTAGCAGATTTGAAAGCTTCAATTCGTGCTGCCGCGCATGTGGGTAGGCCTCAAGGAAGTCTAATTTGTCGATATGGTTGACCCTAAGACGCATTTTGGTTTCAACAAGATGACCATATGCTCGCTTTAACACCGCAAAACAGCCAATATCAAGTGGCTGTAAAAGATGTGATGAATGTGCTGTCCTAGGCTTAGGTTTAGAAGGATATGCAGATCCTATGCACTCAGGAGTCAGGACCCTGTCTTTCAATCAAAGTCATGCCATTCAACAAAGAATGCCTGATACATTCACTCCTGATCCTGGTCAATATCACCCAGAGACTGCCACAGCTCTTGATTGGACTGAGAAAGAGAGAAGAGGCCCCAGACAAAGTCACAGTCAGGATCCAACTACTCCAGTCTAGATGATGGAGATAGAAGAAGAAAGAAACACTATCCTTCTCAACTAGTTAGAGTTAGTTATCTCACATCTTCATAACAAGGATTGGATTGGAAGACCAGAATCATTCACTAAAGCTCATTCACCATGGAAGCCAAAGCTGGGAGAGCTGATTGATCTGTACATATCTGACAAGCCAAAGGACCAGGCAGCCAAGGACCACCAGGAAATGACTGCTAGATGGTCCCAGTCTCTGATAGATGATAAACTCATCTATTCAGATGGATCTCAATCCAGCCAAGGCTCCAATGGCTCTGGTTTATTCACTACCAACACCTTCTTCTCTTCTCAGGATGCTCAGGCCTGGAATATTGGAAAGGAATGTGAAGTCTATGATGCTGAGCTCTATACCATCCAGCAGGCCATTCAACTAGCTCTAGATAGAGTTAGGGCTCAAAGACAACCTCAGCTTCAGGAGGTATGGATCTTCTCTGATAGTCAAGCAGCTCTTCAGAGACTCCAGGGATATGTCAATAGCTCTATGCTTCTTCACATAGTAGAGCTGATCCAGACCATCCTTCAAGACTTCACTATCCAAATCCACATTCACTGGGTACCTGACCACCAAGGCATATATGGCAATGAAAAGGCAGATGAGGCAGCAAAGTATGGAGCTGAGTGGTGTGATCCTATCCCTAGAGCCCCACTCTCATATAGCTTTCTGAGAAGGGAGCTGAAGCTGAGAACTCTGGAAGAATGGGAGAGAGAATGGACTTTTCTTCCTGTAGGCAGACACTACAATGACTACACCCAGTTTTACTTGTTTACTTCAAAAACTAGACAACAGGTGCTTTTAGAGTACTTAAGAAACACTGGTATAGCTACTAGAAAGTGGCTGCTAGGCATTGAAAAAAAAAAAAAAGATTTTGTTTGTTCTGATTTAACTCTGTTTTCTTTTTTGATTCATTGTTTTTGATTCACTGTTTTTGATTCACTTTTGATTTATGTGCTAACCCCTTTAACTCTCCTCCCCTCCTTTCTGGATTTCTACAACCTGGCAGGCTTCCCAGCCATCTACATGTCAGCTGTTGATGCCCTAGCTAGGGCCTCATAGGCATTACCCATCATGTCCTCCATTCTTGACCATCTCAGAGTGAGAGCTTCCCACGTGACCTGTGACAGAGCAAATCCCATGTATATAGACCCCATCAGACATAAAGCCCACCCCCTTGGGGGTGGGTAGAGCATGCATAGTCTTAGACTGGAAAATGCTCTATAAAATGGAAATCATCATCATTATTGATAGTTAGATGACAAGACCTTTTTTAATCCTTAACTGCATTGAAAACTTTTACTGTTTAGACCTTCTGGATATAATGATCTATCCAGTCTTTTTATCAGATAAGCTATAATGTACTGCCAATAATCATTTACCTGAGCAGGTGATTGAGCCTCAGAATCAATTGTTAATAGAGATGACTAGGAATGAGAAGTGAAGGAAGTTCTTGTCTCTCATCTAAATTGACACCGGCTACAGTACCAGGTGAAATGGATTAGATTTAATGAGGATTAGACATGGTATCCAGCTACCAACTTCAAGGGCTCACTATACATACACATACCAATCTACTATTAAACTGAAGCATTCATCCATCACCATAATCTAACTACACACCAGATGAAATAGTATTTGCATGGATCTAACACTTCCACGAGAATTCAAGAAAGTGGCAGGTGAGTTCATCAATCTATCTATTAATCTAAATATAAATTAGATTGGTAGATATTGGTGGTACTCCTTGATAATTATAGATCCCATTTCACATATGAATTTGTTGAATACACTGAAAACCATTAAACCATTATTTTTACCCTCCCTTCACATACAATACACTTTCTACAACTACTTGATGGGCTATATTTCTAGTAGCACTACTATAGCCAGGCTGTTTGTGAGGCAGTAAAGAATGGGTATGATATTTTTAAAAGGCAATAATTTTCTTGATAACCTCTAGTTTATAATAAAAGACATTCACCACTAGTAGAACCATCCAACCTTTATTCAAACCATGCAGCATATCCTTTCAATCCATCATCTTGGATCCATTAAAAAAGATGACTTTGAATGAAGAGCCTCTAGATATAATTTAATAAGGGGTTTGAGCCTATTAAGAGTCCTGTCCAATCTAAATACTCCATTATTGATTATCTCTTTATGTTAGAGCAATTGCCTGAGCTCAGAAGTTCTACCATTGGGCCAAAAAAGACCACTATTATAAGAGGCCCTAGCTCTGTTCCTTCTCATATTAAAGAGTTGATTGATTATTAACCTATTTTTGCTTATTGATCCCATAACTGGCCCTACTGCATATAGCCCTTGAAATCATCAATAAAAAGCTTGTTTTTCACCCTATTTCAATGCTTTAAAACACATGAAAATGAGGACTTGGGCAAACTCTGACATGAAGTTCTTCAGCTAAATAAAGAACAACCAGCAGGCCATTCAGGGCTCCATTGCTGCATGGTTACAGTGTATGAAAGAGAAAGTCTTCCCAGATAATATTTATTATATTGATATTAACAAGATTTTATTAAATAGTATAATACAAAGGCCTTATAGGCTGCTAAAGAAATGTAAGAATGCTCTGACTTTAATTATTAATGTTTGACCAGAAGACTGTTCAAGCTCAGTAATGTGTATATACAGCTTTCCTTTCATTCATTAACTCTGATCTAGCTAACTAATTACTTCCCTTTAATGTAATCTACTACTGAGTTGCACATATCACTGAATTGCACAGTCAGCAGCGGCTTTCCCTGAACACACCACATACTACTCTTTAATCCTCCTATTTATCATCATGTTTATCATGGACAAGGAGGAGCAAATAAAACTAACTATTGAGGCCTTTAATAAAGGCCAATTTCAATCCAAACTGCATGTGCAAAGGCATTTAATGTCATTCCAAGGACTCTAATGTATCACCTGAACAGAATGGCCTCTCGACATGAAATGACTGCCAATTGTCAGAAATTATCAGAACTTGAAGAAGAGACTCTATCTAGATGGATTCTAGATATGTATCAGCGTGGCTTACCTCTTCAAATATCAAATGTCTGCTATCTTTCCCAATTACTGCTATCTGCACAGCTAAAACCCCCCGAGAAAGCCACCACTGGTGAGCTATGAGTTAACCGCTTTATCTGACGCCGTCCTGAGCTCAAATCCAAATATACCCGCAAATATGACTATCAGCGTGCCAAATGTGAGGATACTGAGTTGATAAAAGGCTGGTTTAATCGCGTTCAAGAGACCATCCAAAGATATGGCATTCTAGAGCAGGATATATACAATATGGATGAATCTGGTTTTAAAATGGGAGTGGCATCAACTGCAAAGGTTATCTGTGTCTTGGAGACTAGAGATAGCCATGCCAAGACAAATGATAATTTAGGATTTGAATGGCTTCAGGAGTTTGAGAAACATACTTTTCTCATCAGACTGCTGGCAGATATCACCTTTTGATTCTTGATGGTCATAGCAGCCATGCCACTGCTAATTTTGATCATTTCTGCATGGAAAGGAGGATAATCCCATTATATATGCCTCCTCATTCATCTCATCTACTTCAGCCACTGGATATAAGCTGTTTTACACCACTCAAGCACTACTATGGCCAGAAAATCAGGGAGATGGCACAAAATGGCATCCATGTCATTGATAAAATGGATTTCCTATCTAACTACACCAAAATCCATGCTCATGCATTCTCAAAGACCAACAACATACTAAGTGGATTTGCAGCTGCTGGTCTTATTCTGTTTAAACCAGAGAGAGTGCTTGCAAAACTCCATATCAAAATGAAGACACCAACACCACTTTCCTCTCTGAGCAGCAATCAATCCTTTTATTTAGGAAGGACACCTGCGAATCTCTATCAGTTAAATCAGCAGAAAAGGCAGATGCAAGGGCTTCAAATACAGTCTGTATCCTCAGTGGCTGCAGAGCAGATGCTTGAAAAAGTCATTAAGGGTGCAGAGATGGCAATGCAGTATTTTATCCTTTTACAACAAGAAATCCATCAGCTTCGCACATCAAATAGGCATCAGAAAGAGAAGATTACATGAGCCTTTATCCAAGATGGAGGGAGTTTAACTGGTGATGAAGGGTTGCAAAGATTGAGAGAATGGGAGAGGCAAGAAGAGCCAGCACGGTGCAGCAATTGCAATAAAGAAGGTCATGATAGATTAAAATGCCCTACTAGATAGTAATATATTTAATGAATTTGACTTGCTCTACAAGGAATTGATAGATAGATTATATGCAGTATGGATGCCGCCGCCGCCGCCGCCGACCGCGCAATTCGGTGATAGATTACGTTAAGGGTTTAGTATGAATAATCAGATAACTTATAATAAAATCAATATTCCTTTAACTACCCTGGCCAACGCTGAAGTGAATAAATATCTATCTTTTCATAAACAAGCGATAGAGTTT